GGGGATTAAAACAAGTTAGCATGCAGTTTAAACACACACACACACACACACACACACACACACACATAAATCCATTGAACGGCTGATCGAAAGGTTAAGAACGCTGAGCTGCCATGCAGAAGCCCAGGTTCGAATCCTAGGTACGTGCCATTTTTGTGTGAGTGGGGTGGGGGTGGAAGGGGGGGGGGGGCAAGGATACAAACCTAACCTGCACAGTTTGTGGCGACATCATTTGCCACACTGCCCCAAATTCGTAGGCACTAATATCCCCATGCATACACGGCAAAAGTGGTTAATACAGGCAGTTGCGGCATTTTCAACGCTTACCGAATTTGTTTCGTTCCTATTTGTTCCAGTCTATTTTTGTTTCATATTTTCATCTTAACTGCTTACTGTATAGGTATATCTTTGGCTTCAAGGAAATTAAAACGAAACAAAATTAGATTAATAAATAATTCCCAGTTAAAAGAAATTACCTGGGAATAAAACAAGCCAACAGACAGTTAAAAAAAAATTAATCCAATGATTGCTATTAGGGGAAAGTTAACCGTAGGCATTTCTATGAGTCACAGAGTGATTATTGGGTAATGCGTGTATTTATCTTTCCTCTGGGCACTGGGCTGGCGTCTGATGTCAACAAAAATCATCAAACCTACAGAGAACAACCGCACTGTTTTTCAATGCCTAATCCATGGCCAATCAGCACGTTCATTGTCTAGCCATGGACAGACCACGTATAATATAAAAAGCCAGATGTGTTAGTATGGTAATCTTAGTTTCAGCTTCATAGCAAACAGGTCACCAGAAATTTGCTCCGCTCCTGTGCCAAGCAAAAACTCACACACAATATCCATCAGTCTCCTTTGTGGGAAAAATTAACACAGACTGCAATCTCAGCATATCCACTAGCATCACACGCATATCAGAAGTTGCACACGCGGTCAATTTTATTCACACAAGGCACCCCTAATTTTGTGGCAACAGGCCACGCGCCATGTTCTGAATCTACAGCTCACAATACCACGTTGGTCACTGTTGAAAACATTTACAAAGAAATCCACAGCTCACAGTGCCGCGCCATGCACTCAACTCAGTAGCTTGGCGGCAAAGCTTTATCCTTTCAGTCTACAAATGGGGGAAAATGCAACAGTTTTGCCACCAGTATAACTAGTAAAAGGTTAGCCAGCTTTCATATTGACCAGGTGGTCACTTGTTGTTGTTGTGCATGTTGATGTTCACCAGCTGTAAACTCCAGCGGAAATTACGAGTTGTTCTTCCAGTTCTAAGTGATAATCTTGTTCTAGAACTTTAGTTTTGCGGGAACGTCAATTTTACTACAGATCTAGTCTGGTAGTCTGGTAGTCTTAGTTTCAGCTTCATAGCAACGGGTCGCCCCATCTTTGCTCAGCTCCTGTGCCAACGAAAAACACACAGAATGTTTATCACAGTCCCTTGTGGAAAGATTGACAGACTGCTGTCTCAGCATATCTAGCATACACTCGCATTAAAGCATACGGTAGCCATCCGAAGTGCTAACACAAACAGTCCAACATTAGAAATGCAGTTCATCATTGATGATAGCAGAACTTGTCGCCAACAGTTCAGCAGTTGTCCACGCGATCAATTTTAACCAGATACGGGCACCGCCAACATTGCACGCCATTTTCTGAATCTACAACAATTCACACCACCACGTTGGTCACAGTCGAAAATACATTCCAAATGCAATCCGCAGCTCACAGGGTCACGTCATGCATTCAACTCAGAAGCTGGGCGACGAAACTATATCCAGTCTACAAATGAAGCAAAAATACTTTAGCCACCGTCCGGCAGAAGCAAAAAATTTGCCTCTGCTTCGAACAGCGCCGCTGTCTAGCGTCCATTTTAACCGGAAGAGCACTACAGATCTAACAAACTTGTATTCAGACTCTTGGTTCCTTGACTCTTGGTTAGAGGCACTTTGACTTCGAAGGTAAGAAACTACAAAATAGTTGCCTTTTGCAACATGTTTGTTTTGAGGGACAGTATGTTTATTCCCACCCACCCCCCCCCCCCAACCCTTTCCGTGGGACCCTGTAACCTACAAGAGAATGGTCATTCGTCAAATTACATGAAAAAAGCCAATGACAACTAAACATTTACCTGGTTTTTCCAGGATGACAAAGTGAAAATTTGCTTTTAAAACTGATTCAGCCTAAAACTAGTAGCAGGTCATGTCCTGGGAAGTATAGGCGACCAGCGTGAAGACAGCCACACCGAGTGTAAACTGGTTTAAAATGATATATGTCTAACATCGTATGCTCAAGGAAGCCGCCGTGGTGTAGCAGCTAGACGCTCGCCTGCAGATTAGAAGAAGGTCGTGGGTTCGGGTTCTAAAGGAACCGGACATTTTTTTGTGTTTTCTGAAAATGGCCTTGGCACCCAAGTTTACCCAGCCTTGAGTGGGTACCCGGTGCAGTCCTTGGAAGTAAAGGCGACCGGCATGATGCAGACGACATCG